GGGGACGCAGTGTCCCCGCGAACACCCTCCGTCCCGCGCGGCGTCCCCGGAAATGCGGGGCCGCGGCCAAGCCCCGCCCCGCCCCGCCCCTGTTTATGGGAACTGTCCGGAGGCGCCCTCGGGCTCGCCCGCTGCCCAGCAGGGCCCCGCCGCTGCCACCCGCCTCGGGCGGGGACGGCCACTCCGCACTCGCCGCTGTGCCCGCCTCCCCCAGTCGGGACCTGGCCGCACGACATGTCGCTCGCCAGCCGCAGGAGGCCGCGGGGTCTGCGGGGCTGCGCCCTCCCTGACCTTGGGAGGCCCGGCCTCGGCGGTCCAGGGCCCCCGTAGGGGACAGGCTCACTAGCTGGAACCGGCGCGCGGGGGTTGGAATCCTTCCTAGATCTACTACCACCTAATTGGCTGTGTTACCTAGGGCGGGCTCCTTAACCTCTCCGAGCCTCCAGTTCTTTATCAGCAAAGTGGGCATCAGAGCAGTAGAGACCTCACAGGGTTGTGGTGAGAAATGCAATTATGTAGGCATACAACTGGCACGTGGTCAGCGCTCAATAATGGCAGTATTGTTTCCAGTAAGAGGCAAGTGAGAGCCGAGCTCAGAGCTACCCTCCACGAAACCACCCACGTCTCCGCCCGCGGTGAATACCGCTCACCGCATCCCTTTAACCTGCAGTGGGCCACGCGGTGAGAGTGAAACCAAACGAAGAGATCTGCGGGAGGGGTGAGAGAGATGGTTATAAATATCCAGCATTTATCAAGGGACCTTGGCTCGTCCCTCTCCAGGCCCTGCATCCTGGCTCTATCTTCCAGGAAAGCAACAGCCGCTCTCAGGGCGGTTCCTGAAACAACCAGTTCTGGGCGTGTTCGTGGCTGAGCCGGCCCGAGCTGGCTGGTCCAGGGGATGGAGAAACCGGAGGGCAAGTGTCCGCCTTTTCCCCCACCTGGCAGGCCGGGCCAGGCTTAAGTGCCTCCGCACGGTTCCTCTGCCGCCTTCCCTCCAAGGCACTGCCAGACTCCCCCACATAGTGCTCCCCCATAAATAGATAGAGTGGTCTGTCTACATATTTACTACCAAAATGTTGGAAAACAGAAAACACAATGAAGAATACCCATAATTAGGGGCGTCTGGGTGGCTCCGGCCGTTTAGCCTCGGACTCTTGATTTGGCTCAGGTCACGATCTCAGGGTGGTGGGATCCAGCCCAAGTTGGGCTTGGGGAGTCTGCTTGAGATTCTCTCCCTCTCTCTCTGCCCCTCCACCCTGCTCTCTCTCTCTAAAGTAAATAAATAAAATCCTTAAAGAAAAAAAAAAAAAACAAAAACCCATAATTTCACCTGCCAGACCAGAATGACTCCAGAGTGACCACTAAAGCAGCCTGTTTCAATATTTTCTAAAACTTCTTTTGAGAAATAATTTATATGTAATAAATCTCACAAATCTTAAGTGTACTGAGTTGATATTTTGGTGACTATCCTGTCTCTTTTCTATGCATAGTTTGCATTTAAAACTTTTAGAAAAAGGGGCTGCCTGGATGGCTCAGTTGCTGGAGCATACAACTCTTGATCTTGGGGTGTGAGTTCAAGCCCCACATTGTTCATGGAGCTTACTAAAACAAAAACTACCCCAAAACCCCCAAACAAACAAACAAACAAAGAGCTTTTAGAAAAAGGATTATTCAGTGCATATTCTTTTAGCACTTTTCCCCAGGACAGCAGTATATCACAGCACTTTTCCATAACATTAAAAATTCTCGGGGCGCCTGGGTGGCTCCGTCGTTGGGCATCTGCCTTCGGCTCAGGTCATGATCCCAGGGTCCTGGGATCGAGCCCCACATCGGGCTCCCTCCTCAGCGGGAAGCCTGCTTCTCCCTCTCCCACTCCCACTGCTTGTGTTCCTGCTCTCGCTATCTCTCTCTCTCTGTCAAATAAATAAATAGAAATCTTTTTAAAAAAAATTCTCGCATACCTTCATTTTTTAAATTTTTTTAATTTTTTTTATTCTTATGTTAATCCCCATACATTACATCATTAGTTTTAGATGTAGTGTTCCATGATTCATTGTTTGTGCATAACACCCAGTGCTCCATA